TATCCCTCTTGCTTCTACCCGACCATGCCCAGATTCTACCTTCATAAACACCTTGTGAGTTTCGAGTGCCCTCTTCTTCCCAATACGACCCTTATCTTACATAACCACAACCCTAGTTCCTCAAACCCTTACCACTTGTCTCCCTTAGCCTGTCAATCGGATGATTTTGTCTCCGATGATGACTTCATTGATGCATTCCCCTCCCTCTCTCCCCTCCTTCCTCGACAGACATTAACCCCAAATGTCTGGAAATTTCCCTTTTAACCCTGTTACGCCAGAGTTACTAGTCGATTGGCAAGCACAAATTGATCAATCGGAGCATATCAACCGAAGCATTGAAGTCTGCAGGATTTTGTGTCTCCAAATATCTTAGTCTGTCTGTTTGGCAGAGGAGAAAATTGTGGGTCTTGAGGTGGAGGTCTGCAATAATCGATGGCGGAAGCGCATGACTAAATTGGAGATAGAAAAGCATAGATCGGGAATCAATGAATTTCCTCCCCAAAACTAGGGGTGGGTCGGTCGGTTCGATTTGAATTGAACCAAAATTATGAATATGTGGTCCCCGAATTCGAACTGAATTATAATTCGGTACAGTCGGTTTAAATCGAATTATAATTTGGTTCGGTTCGGTTTTTCACACAAAACCGAATTTGTGAGGCTACTTGTATCTGATCACTTTTAAATTATTTTTCACCCCTAATATAAACAATAGATATGCAATTATATGCATAATCAATGATAAAATCAAACTTTTCAACACATAAGTCATAAAGCATTTAAAATATTTAAGTCTAAAAACAACTACAAACATAAAAATCCACCATTTGGAGCTTGCAATAATAGTATTTCGGTTTTTCGGTCAAAATTTTGGAATTTCGGTTCAATTGAAAGAACACTGGTTTCCGAAATATTGATATTTTCCTTCCGAATTTCGAAACGAATAGCATTATTTCGGTTTTGGTTTGGTTTAATTCGGTTTCAGTTCGGGTTTACAGAACCGTTTGCCCACCCCTACCCACAACCAGAGAACTCGACACAGAACTGGCCAGTCTCCTGAGCCTGTAGTCTTGAATGTTGCTAGGAAAGGAGGGTCACCTGACCATATAAGTGTTCTCTGGCGTCTCTACATGGTGATTCATTCCGTTATCGCTTGGAACAACCGGGGACTGGGTAACCCCAACAAGAGAGCTAAGGTCAAAAGAATCCTTCCCAGATGGAAACCCACAATTGTTGGGCTTATAGAGACTAAATGGAAAAATTGCGATCAGAGGCTTGTTTTCTCTATCAGTGGTAGCAAATCTGTTGAATGGGTGGCCAAGAATTCGGTTGGAGCTAGCTAAGGAATGGCAATTTTTTGGGACACAAAGCTGTATGAGGCATTATCGGTTTGGCAAGGCAGATTTCCCCTCGCGGTCAGTCTTAAGATCTCCGATACTGGAAAGATTGTGTCATTTTTGGTTGTCTAGGGTCCCCAAGAGAAGAAAGACAAGCTTGAATTATTGAAAGAGCTTGAGTTTGTTTGCCAAAATTATCAGGTTGCCTTGTGTATTATCGGCGACTTTAACCTTGTCAGGTCAGTGAATGATTAAGTGGGGAATTCAAGAAATGTGGAGCTCATTGAAGTGTCCAATAATATCATTGGTTCCTACAACCTTGTGGACCTCCCACTTCAAGGATCGTACCTCGAGCATAGGGGGTTTGGAGAGTTCACTTTCGCGCATAGATAGAGCTCTAATAAATCTAAGATTCGAAGAGGAATTCGGTCCGAATGCACTTTCTGCCTTGGATAGAGTGGAATATGATCACAATCCTATTATTTTGCAATGGGGTAGAAAAGAAGACTTCCGACATCCTTGGAGGTTTGAGAACATGTGGCTCACTGAGGAAGCTTTTCTACACGGCTTGGTGGAGTGGTGGAATATCCCTGTGTCGGGAACAAGTCACTTGGTCAGATTCGAAACAAAAGGGGAGACAAACCAAATTTTTTATTAAGCAATGGAATAAAGAGCATTTCGGGAAGGTGATATGAAGATTGTAGAACTTTTGGCTAATATCAAGGCTATTGATGCAGGGGAGGAAGATGGCGCTATCAACGAAAACTTGTTTGAGGAAAGAGCCCTTCTAAAATGTGAACTCGAAAGGGTTTCGTTACTCGAAGAGATTTCATGGCGACAGAAGTCCCATGAGTTGTGGCTCAAAGTGGGAGACAAAAAGGGCAGGTTTCTTTTATAGAATGGCTAATCACAATCGGTAGAGAAATAGCATAAAGAGGTTGAGAATTGATGGGTGTTTGAGAGAAGATACTATAGCAATCAAGGCAGCAATAAAGGACTATTTCTAGACAAAGTATACAGAAGGTGACGATAACAGACCTTTTCCTAGAGAGTGCAGGCCCTTCGCATGTAAGGATGAGGAAAATGAAGCACTTGTGAAACCCTTTTCTAAAGCTGAGACTTGGGAGGTCATTCGACAATGTAACGGAGACAAAGCGCCTAGGCTGGACGGTTTTACACTCGAGTTCTTCTAGAAAAGCTGGAGCATCATAAAGTTTGATTTATTGAAGGGCCTTGATGACTATTATCTTTCGGGATCACTTCCTCAAGCGATTGCTCACTCCTTTATATGTCTCATCCCCAAAAAGGAGGCTGCTGAAGATATCTCGGATTTCTGGCCAATAAGTTTGCTAGATAGCTTAAAAAAAAAATCTAAGTTGTTATCCAACAGACTACAACCCTTCATGAACAAAATCATCTCTAGAAACCAATTTGGAGGAAAAAAAGGGGTTAGTGATCCATGAAGCCATTCTAATCGCAAATGAGATTATTGATAATCGACGAAGGAGTGGCATTTGTCTCTATCAGCTGGAATTGTATTTTGGAATCGCTCAAAAGCTTGAATATGCATAAGAGAGTTCGAAAGTGGATGAGGGGTGTTATAACTTCAACCAAACTCTCAGTTCTAGTTAACGGGGAAGCTATGCGTTTCTTCGGCAGGAGTAGAGGTATCAAACAAGGAGATCCCCTATCACCCTTCCTTTTCAACTTGGGAAACATCCTGTCTTTTATTTTAAGGAAAATCAACAATGTCAGGCTCTTAACTGGTTTTTGTGTGGATGAAAGTAATCAACGAGGGGAAGTGACACACCTCCTCTATGTTGATGATGTTATCATCTTCTGTGAAGATAATGAGGCGGAAGTTGTAAATATCCTGGCAACCCTGGAAAGCGAGTTATCGTTCAATTGGTGGAAGAGTAGTTTTGATCAATGCTGTCCTCACGAGTCAAAGTAGCTACATGAGTTCCCTCTTTCTGGCTCCGATGAGTACTATCAAAACTTCGAAGAAAATGCAAAGAGATTTTCTATGGTCGGGGAATTCTGAGAAGGAAAAGTTTCACTTGATCTTCTGGGAGATGTGTAAGACGGCCAAGAAGCAGGGAGGTTTGGGGATTCGTGACTTGCATCTTTATAACAAAGCACTTCTCCTCAAGCGGATATGGCGTTTTGCAACTGAAAGGCAGAGTTGGTGGAGGGAAATCATTGATTTGAAGTATCTGAACTCAAATTCAGAGTGGTTTTCTGGGGAAATTGGTGGGGGTTTGGGTTGTAGCACATGGCTGCAAATCTCCAGACTGAAAAACTTATTCTGAAAGATGGCACAGGTTGATCAGGGCAATGGTTTGTAGACCTCCTTTTGGCACTACGTTTGGATCAAAGGAACCTGTCTGGTTTATGAATTCCCGGGAGTGTTGGCTGCTGCAGAATCCTCGAGATCCTGAGTTGCGGACTATCTGCGAAATAATGGTGAGACTTTTTCGTGGGAAATTCCTTTAAAATTACTTCTTCGGGTGGGGAGGAGAGAGAGCGAGTGAGTTTGCTTTGTTTGTTGGACAATCTTCCCTTGTCTAGCGTGTTTGCAGGACCTCAAAGACTGATCTGGCATCCAACATCCTCGTCTAGATTCACAGTCCACTCAGCCTTTGATGAGCTTGCTGCAGCAAGGTTCGACAAAATCGACGATTTTCGTACCAAGCAAGATATGTATATTCCTATGGATGGTCTTCCACAAGAGGACTCTAACCTTGGACAATAGATGCTCACTTTGCAAAATGGATAAAGAAAACATAAATCATCTCTTTGTGAGTTGTAAGTTTGCCGAGGAGATATGGAGGGTAATGAGATCATTCACTAGAATTGATGACATAATTTGCAGGGCTACTGACATTTCAGAAAGTGTCAAGTTATGGCAGCATGATAAATCGGTGCATCCTATTCAATGATTTTCAAGGGTGTTCCTTCACGCTTATTGTTGGAATCTATGGTTGAAAAGAAATTCAAGAGTATTCAATGACTCGGAAGCTACTCTTTGTCTGGTGGCTTTCAAAATCGCTTGTGTTATTGCCCAATGGTTGAGTGCAGCAAAGAAGGTTGGCAAAGACACCACCGAGAGCTGGCTAAGAGGGTTGAAGACCAGGTTGTTCCCTCCTAGAGAATGATTCCAGATCGAAAGGTGGACCGAGGACGCTGGTGAGCGCAAGATGGCATTTGGCTCTTTAATCAATCAAGGGGCACTTGTTGGGGTGCATATCGGGATTCGTGGCCAGATTGTCGAGTTTTTTGGTTAGTGGGTGACTGCTTCGCCCATCTAGTCACCCTGCTTCGAACTAGAAATCCTCGAACAACCCTATTTGGCTTTTCTTTCTATATCTCTAATAAGCTTTTCACTTTCTTTATATGGGTACAGACCTTTGTGGAAATTGTAGGGGTTGAGTTGACCCCTTTGTAAACTTTTTTGCTGTTTTGCATTATTTAATAATATATCGCCGCACTTATCTAACAAAATAACAAACATTATCGTAGAGATATGCAACATATAATAAGAGTTGTCTCATGAAAAATTCGAACAACATGAAAATAACATGAGACGCAATGTTTATGTAGTTTCCCGATAAAAAGAACTACTCCACGGAGTGTTAGAGGTCAGTACTCATCACACAACACATCTCGCGATCAGCCATTTTTGAAAACCACCGGTACTAGCCGTCTTTCCACTTGTTACAACTTGCAATGGGGGGAAAAGGACACAACTATTTTCTCTCTCACCGCCGTGGAGGAGCTTGGAGCGGAGACATGAATTCTCTAATAAACCGCCGGAGCCGACTAACCCAACGTAGACTCATCCATAACTATTATTTCATGTCTTCCTCACCGCCCCTGATGTGAGTCGTGAGATGTGACCCCTTCACGGAACAGACGTCCGGTTCCTCGTACATTGCAAGGACCAAACAGACACCACAACATTGAAATCTCTGTGGCTGTGCGATCTCGCAGCTAGCCACATCCGCACAAGCGTAACTGAATCGACATGACGCGGAAATGGAACATTTTGTTCCTACGTCTCGTTAGCTGCTCTCTGAGATTGAGCCGTCACAGCCCGATGACTTATGCTCGTTAGTTGCCGAATGAGGTCTTGGAACGACGGCCGTTGCTGCGGATCACTGGCGGGTGGTGTTTCCGCCACCCCAATAGAGGAACGACAAAAGCTGTTAGAAGCTTAACTTCGCAGAATGTGTTTAGCTTGTACATGAAGTTACCTCTTCCAACAGTCTTGGATAATGGTTGCTATCCTGGGATCAAGACCTTCAGGCAGTTCCAGTCTTCTGTCCATGAACCCAACCACTCCAACCACCTGCTCCAACAGTTAAAAGTTCGAACACAGAAACCAAACCACAATAAAGCTACAGCCAATCCTCTAAACGAATTTGGGTCTAGACAGATAAGGGTGTAGGTCAGTAGACCTGCAAGGAGTTGAGTCTGTCCCATGGGATGGAGACTGTCATTAGCTCCCACAAGATCACCCCGAAACTGTAGACGTCAGACCTGGATTCGTTTTTCAGAAGTAGTAAAAATTATGATCCAGAGCCTGAATTTATGGACTGAACTGAAGAATCATGGCTGAGACTTCTTTTGGAAAGTTACTTACTTCTCGTTCGAAGGATCGTTGCGGAGGACCTCAGGTGCCATCCACTGAGGCTGCATTGGCAGAGTTTACTTGACCATTATGCAAGAGAAGCTCCCACTTAAATACTGCTAAGACTAAGCAACTAATAATAGCAAAGGGTTGAATGCAGTACAGAGAGACCCATTACCGTTCCTATTCCTGATTTTGCAGACAAGAAGGTTGCATGCTTCCACCTAGATAGACCAAAGTCCCCAACCTGATACACCGACAGTTTTTTAATCCCCTTAGCCCCTAGGAAACTTGCATTACCAGAGAGATGTTCATTACCGTATCTTACCTTTACATTCCAATTTTTGTCAACAAGCAGGTTGGAAGATTTTAGATCTCCATGCACAATAGGTGGGTTTCTATGATGCAAGTAGTTCATCCCTTTAGCCTGCAAATGAGATGTACATACAGTAACTGACTGTTTATCTTTAAGAAACTTACAGTACCACCCATAATTGAAGTATAGCTTACAACGTCCAGGGCCATCTTGAGCCGCCTTTTGATATCCAGGGTCTGATTGTTTCTGTGAAGTGTCTTGAAAAGGCTTCCCCTGCCATGAGAGTGAGATTTCCAAAATCATTCCACAGCAATATAAAAGATGCCCGACACCAGCTGGGAGAGCTAGTGTCCATTAATTACCTTGGCAAGAACTCTGTGACTAAGGCCAGTCGTTGCGGTAAATACACAGCTCCCATGAAAAGCAACACGTTTGGGTGTCGAAGCCTCTTCAACATCTCAATCTGATAGAAGACAAGAAGCTTATATTATGAGAGGCTTCAATTGGCAGGTAACCCGGAAGCTCGTATTACCAATTCAAGTTGTTAACCTCTTTCGTGTACTCATGTAATGTTTCTTCTCTGTAATCGCTGGCAAAATAAACCTTGACAGCGACATCCTGGTGCATTGAAACACAAATGTGGGTTAACAGTAAAATGTAGAAATGCAGAATAACAGCAAATGCACCTGCTGCACAGTAATAGCAAGCATATTGTACCGATTCATTCCAGATTGCTCGATAGACAACGGCAAATGCACCTACAGGGAAAAAGAGAAGAAGAGAACTCAGAACTCAAAAATACACCATGTGACAACACCCTCATTCCAGTGGAGCGAACCCTAATGAAAGCATTTGAAAGAAGATGATAACTTTAGAGGCTTACCTTGCCCAACCTCCTCTGCTAATTGGAGATCCTCCCACTTAATCTCACAGTCAACCTTTGAACTCGAACCATTATCCACCTTTCTAGATGAACTTCTGCGGATGTCATTGCTCTCCGCAACACATGAATACTGCTTCCCGTCTGATCCTCTGCCTGTTTCATCTTCTTCCCTTTCCAAGACTTCCAGGTCTAACTCTGTCTGCTCCTTTGCATCCATCACTGAATTCAGATTCCTGGATTGGTTTCCTTCCTCCATAGAGGTTGAAACACACATCTCTTCAGAAGGATTTCGACTGGTCCGTGCATACATATTATAAAAGTTCCTAAGAGGGACCAAAGAATTTCCTTCTTGTCTAGGAGGACTCTTTGCTTCAGCGTTGCCACCGATAGAGCATTGATCAGATACCGACACTCTTGATCCTCGATGATGATTAGTGTTTTTGAAGCCCTCATTTTTGACAGACCTATCATCATGGTCATATCGTTGACTGTTTTCCCCGACATTTTTACTACTGCCATTGAACCCTCCAATGCGCAGATTTGCCAACTTTTTAGCTGCCTTCAGCAACTGTAACCAAACAGTGGAGCAAACTTGATAAACCAAACAACAAAGAAGCCTCCGTTTTCAGGACATAAAAGTAGAGTATCAAAAGAAGTCGTACAATTTTTGGATGACGACTACGGTTGGTGTCATTCTTCTCATTTTGACGACATGTATTACTTCTAGCTCCTGTGTTCTGCATTCAAAGTCTTTTGACTTAAATTTAATTTCCCCCAAAAAAAGTTCCACAAGAGAGTGAACAAAGGACTTACTAGTGAACCAGAGTGATCTTGGATCGTGGCTGCAGCTTGTGCATCAGCCCTGGAACCCCAATGGTCATCATAATTACCATCATCATCGTTCTTTCTAGGCAAAAACTTTGTAGCCTTAACCATTGAAACATTGAAAATGCAAAAGCAGAAGCTACGGATTTAGAACCATGTGGCGAAGATAATGAAACAGGAAGTAACAGAAAAACCTATGATAACAAATTAAATGTTAAAACAAAATCACATCATTAGCACCAGATTAGAAACTGACGATGCAATGGCCGGCCGTTGGTGCCACTGAATCCTCCGGAAGTTGGTCTCCTTAATAGTAACATTGCTCAGGTTCTCTAAATTAGTCTTGTTGAACACCGCCGCATCACTTGAAACCGTGATGATTCCAGCGAGCTGATTCTCCTCGTACATTGGGCTCTTGGTGACCAACGCCATAAATATCTCTCCGGACTTTTTCCTAAGAGGGAACTGCCCTGACCACGACCGCCCCAAGCTCAGAAGTTCCAAGATCTTACCAAGGGACGCATGGCTCCCTTCAGCCACAAGGAGCTCGGCCATGCTCCGCCCCATGACCTCATGTTCTTGCCACCCGAATAGCATTTCAGCAGCACGATTCCTGAAAACCCCAAAATTGAATTGAAGCCTTCATTTGAAAATTCAACTTCAGTGAGGAATTTCAACAAACACTTGGCGGGCGGGGGATTATAGGGGAAGAAGAAAAAACGTCACCAGTAGAAGATATGTCCAGAAGAAGCGCTGCATAAGTGAAGAGCGTGCCCCATGTTCTCGAGCACCCCGCGGTAAGGAGTCCCCTCCACGAAGTACCCAGGAAAGAAAGACCGGCCGGAAAATGTCGTCACCATCCCGGTTAGTGACGTCAACTCCGCCGACCTGTTGTCATTCGTCGCCACGGTACCGCCCGATCTGGAGTCGTCGCCGTCCCTCCGTCTCGACTTGTCCTCCTCCAGAAGATGGTACAGCTCCTGTTTCAGCCTCTCGTGGCTCGCTTCCAGGCTCAGGCACCGGTTCACGAGCGTCATGTGGAGCGCGCTTCCCGATGACTCGTCGACGGCCATTGTGATCGCCGGTGATGCGCATAATGAATTAATTGGGAGTTTTGGCCGGAGGAAATTTATAGTTAATTGGTGGGAAGTGGGAAACTGTGAAGGCGGTGGAGGTCTGGAGGAGTTCTATTTTTTAAAATTTAATTCATCATGTTTGGCTCTCGTTTTTCCACATTAATAATTTGGAGGAGGAGAAGAAGAAACAAAAACACTTAAAAAAAAAAAGAAATGGCGCCACGCGTCCACTGCCGGCAGGGAAAGGCAATCGGGTGAGGACAGGTGTAGAGTAGTTGATACTTGTGACTCATTAGGGAACAGCGGTAAAGGAGATCTAAGGGATGGGATTGGTTCCACGTCAGCGGGATGACCCCATGGATCTGCCTTTCCTGACTCGAAGGGTGGAATGGATTGGGTTCTCAGAAAAACAAAATAAAAAAGGGCGGGAGGCGTCAGTAATCCCCAAAATAAGGGTGCGAGTTTCCGTAATGGAGTTGCTTCATGGCGAAGTACTCATTGGTCATTCACTCATTTGCTTCTCACTTACCAAAAAAGAAAAAGTGTACAGATTTTGGTTGGATAAGGGTACCTTTTGGGTAATGCTATATATATTTATTGAAATTACTAAAATATGTCATGTCACTTAAAAACATTAAAATTAATTTTGATCACTCAAATTACTGAAACAGTCCACATTTAGATTTAGTCACTCTCCGTTAAACTCCATCAAATTTCGTAAGTGAAGTCCGTTATCTGTTGAAATGGCTAACGAAATCGCCTAATCAACATCGTTTTGGATAAAAAAATTATCAAACTCGACCCACCACATCATTAAACCCACCATATCATATGCCCAACTCATTAACCCAACCCGACCCATGAACCATACCAAACCCGACCCTATTCTCATCTCTACCATCGCCTTCCCACTTCTCCCTATTCCATTTCACGTCGCCGACAAACATGCCCCTTCCATTTTACATAGCAGACGTACAGGCGGAGGATGCCGATGTCGCGTCAGATCCGGTGCAAACAGGTTGTAGTTTCGCTCGCAGGTGGGGCCTGGTTTCAGATCCTCGTCGAATTGTGCGAAGATGTAGGTCTCGAAGGTCCGATTGGGCATCAATGGCATCTCGTCCCCTGAATTAGCATGCCGCATCAGATTCCGATTGTACTGAGCCGCGTCTCCGCAATCGCGATCCTACCCCTCACCAAATTTGAAGATGTTCTCGTTTGAAGTTTATTTCTTTTCATTAGCGTCAGACGATTTGGGTAGAGGCTTGTTTCCGGAAGCCATGTTCAAATTCTGGTAATTCATCTCTATTTTTCTCTTCAATCGTGCTTACGATTAGCTTGCAGCTTGCTCAATTTGGGGAATTCGAAGTTGGTTGGATTGTAAAGCCTTAGTACATATTCAAAAAAAAAAAAAAAAAAGCCTTAGTACATATTGATTGGGAGATCTATTAGTTGTTTGGAGGTAGGGGCGGCGGTAGGCTACTTTGTTCACTTGGCTCTCGAAAATGTGACCTGAACCTGATTGACTTAGCGTGAATGAGAGGGAGAAGTGGGAGGCCATGAGAATAGGGCCGGGTTTGGTTCACGGGTTGGGTTGGGTTGGGCATATGAGATGGCAGGTTTAATGATGTAGTGGGTCAAGTTTGACAATTTTTGGTCCATAACGACATTTACTAAGCGATTCCGTTAGCCATGTCAGCATATAACGGACTCCATTGACGGATCAATTTGGCTAGATTGTATAAAAAAGAAACAATTGAGCCAAATTGATCCGTTAGAATTCCTCATCCAAACAACTTCAAAAACAATTGTGTGAGAATAAAACAATTTAATCGCGTAGTGTTTCTTTGGTAAATAGTAGTTCAAGATAGATAATTAAGTAATCAAAGGATCTTAGAAGTTCCTGAATGGATAATTATGCTATACTTGTGATGGGTAAATGTAAAAAAAAGGGCAAAATTCATCTTTGTAAAAAAAACTTGGACGTTTGTGACAGTTATAGCCATTTTTGGGGAAATACCAATAATAGTCAGAATTTCGAAAGTTTGATGACAAATATAGTTATTTCCGCTACATAATTTGACAACGTCAGTGACAGTGTTAGTCAAATTAACGGAACGCTTACTTGGCTGGCAACTCTCCTTCTCTTTCGTTTCCACCTCTGCATTTAGTGAAAGGTGGATGACACGTCATTTACATTTTTTAACCCTACCTAAATCCCGGGGGGGGGGGGGATTTCATTAATCGAAATTAAAAACAAAATAGAAAAACAAAATCCCCTTTCATCTTCTTCCTCTCGCCAGGGACAGAGAAATCCCAAACCTGTGGGGATGAACATTCAGGAACCAACATCTTCTAAAAACCCAGATGCGGAGGAGCGAAGGATGAGGCTGGCGATGGCGATGACTCTGACTTGTCGACTTTGGCAACAACAACACTGGTGAAGGAGAGAAGATGGTGGTTCCGCCGCCATTGTCGACTTCCCATATAGTTACCTATTATAATGGACAACTCTTTTCTTCAATTATCTGTTTTCAATTATAATTTCTAACTCTTTTAGAAAACAAGGTTTGGTTCCCTCATCCGGCAGTTCCTCACAATCTCGCTGCTTTCGCCTTTGTGCGACTGTTCGGTAACATCTCCGACAAAGCTCCTCTACAGGGATTCGCTCCATCATTCTCCGACGACATCACAGCGGGGGAAGTGGTTCTTAGTGTTTGTGGAGCATCTCTGGTAGAGGTCTGTTGGTACTTGAAATTTGCTTTGTTCCTTTAGGAGTCGTTTGTGTGTTCATCTTGCAGGTAGCTTGCACATCAATTCTACTATTGGCCTATTGAAGCTTGACTTATAGGAGATATGAAGGCCCTACTCGGCGGATGAGTGCTTCAAGAAGTTTGTTGAAGGAAGACGCAAATTCGTTTATCTATGGTTTTAGGTATACTAACAGGGCTGCCCATTGAGTGGCACAAACGACCCTTGCATCGGAGCTCAACACTAGGTTGACTACCGCTTTTAATTTTCAAGAATTGTAATACCCTATCTATTTACGTTCTATCTATGACAAAAAAAATTATCTGTTTTTTTTTGTTTTTTTTTCAATTAATTCCATGGGGCAATATTGTTAACTAATGTCGCCACGTCAGCCCTTCTGCTAGTCCAGTCAGCACGTTAACTAATATCGTCAAAGAATTAGACGGAAGTGGCTATTTTTGTATTTCGCCAAAAGGGGCTATATTTGGCCAAACCGTCAAAGTTTTGGCTACACATGTGTATTTTTCCTAAAGAAAATGACATCAAAGTCATTTTCTATAAGAGTTTTATCTACGTCATGATCTATCGAATCCGTCGTTTCAACTAGCATCACTTCTCGAGTTCCACCGTCGTGAATCCTCACAAAACGTAGCAACATAGAACAGGGGGCGGGATACGCTCACTTCCCCGAAGGGGGTTGTGAGATTCACAACCAAAGGCATTTTCAGTATAAAAAATTAATAATTTTTTTGTATTATGTATATATCGGGAATTTAAAATCCATATTAAATACATGTTTTTTTTTAAAATTTAAATCCTACAATAAATTCATTTATCTCTCTTCCTTTTCTAGCAGCCACTTTACTCCGACCGGCTGACTTTTCGACCGACAGACTTTTCCCCGACAAAATCCTTCAATCAGACTCGCTCCAACCACCTACAAAAAAATTACCACTCTATTAGTGCGCTAGTGGTACGCTACCACTACCACTGGTACCACTATTGTGAGTAGTGGTACGCTAGCACTACCATTGGTACTACTATCACTAGGAGCGCTGCCAGTGATAGTGCTACGCTACCATAGGTATGGTACCAGATGTAAATCACTACCACTAGAGAGTAAGACAAAAAAAACATATTTGAAATCCGAAAATCACAGATGTGGAAAAAAAAAGGACGAGAAAAAGGGAGGTTGTGACCTTGCGACGGGGACCTCGTGGCGGTGATGGTGGGAGGCAGAGAAAGGGAGCGGCGACATAGGAGGGCGGCGGTGGAGAGTGTGGCAGGGGGTGGAGAGAGGTGGAGGAGGGTCGCAGGACGTGGTGGAGGGGCGGAGGAGAATCGAGGGATGGCGACGGTGGAAGCGCGTGACAGGGGTGAAGGGAGGAGGAAAGCTGCAGGATGCAATCGAGGGCACGGCAGGCGACAACGGGGGATGGAGGGAGGTGCCGCATGCGGAAGAGAGGGAGGAGTTAGGGATTTTATTTATTTACATAGAAGGGAGAATGGTTGAGTGTGGTAAGTTCTTTCACTTCCAAAAATACCATTCGTTAATTCTTAACCATTGATTTGAGAAAAAAAAGTCACGAGAGAGAACAAATCTAATGGTTATAAAGTGGGTTGTTAATCCCATAAAACATCAATTAGACATCATATCATAGCATATCGAAAAAGAAGTAAATATAACAAACTCAGAACTAATAACACCAAGCAAATAACAATCAACTCTCTCAAATGGTTCATGAACCCATTCAAATCCATATAAGAAATATGAATTCAGTCATAAAAAAAAACAAGGCTAGATGCATATACCAGAGTCCGAAGAAACAAACATCAAACAATATATGTAATGAAATACACCAACAACCACAACCCACTAAAATTCCAATTCTGCAAACTAACCAAATTCTAAAGCTTCACAAGGACTAGGAAAATACATATGTTTGAGCCAAGTTCCCTCTTTTACTCTCTTGAGGCGCCTTGTCCGCTTCCCCTTCTTGTGGCTGGGGCGCGTAGGTACCCACACACCAGGCGCACCGCGGACCCCTATGGTTCGTTAGCACTCCAACAGTCAAGTTAGCACCACAATATTAGAGAAAGAAGTGGAACAAAGTTTAGTGAAAGAATCCAATTTGAGTAAATGAGGTTCACCTCTTAGACTATTTATACCACAAGACTGGCCAACCATTGCTCCCAAAATCTGCCCCACGTCTTCGCTGCAATAAATGCTTCGTACCTCCACTTTACCACGTGCCTCGACCGCCTGACACCATGTTCATAGGTTTGAGGCGCTTGACCTTATCTGCTGTGCACTCCGTACACTTTCGACAGTTGCACTCTTTTGTCCCAATGCACCTTATGTCAGAGATCGAGCCCACCCGTACAGATGGCTCACTGCCCTCATTGGTCCGCCCCCCCTATTGCTGGG